GTATTAACACATATCTGTGTAAATCACACACAAACTAATTAGCACAGAATAGTCACCTAGATCCACATCTTATTAGTGTATAGCCACCACCATTTTCCTAAAGGTTCTACATAGCATCAAGGAACTGTTTTATTTAGGGGCTAAAAACGCTTTACTGCATTAGCGTCACAAATTCAAATGTATTTGTAATATTTCAACTGCAAATAAGATCAAAATCTCTTCCATACAAGTGTTCAATTTGTCTGTATTTCATTGTTGAAATAGGTTGAAATTAATGTGAATATCTGGAGCGTGCATGTTCTTGGCTACCAAAAGAAATCTTAGAATATGGAATGTAAACTGACTTACTGAAAACTTTATGAAACACCCCCTCGCAACCGATTTCACTCACGAGTCGCAAAAACAAAACCGTCGCAGAAACTTTCTGCTTCACCAGCCGCACAACTTCTGGTTTTAAACTAGTGTTAGCAGAAACAGTGCATTCAAAACAGAGTGAGGAGCGTTCTACTGTGTATTAGGCCAGGGCGATTGGGCGATGCAATCAGATTTCATCGATGATGGACAAGTAACCTGATTGCGATGTGTAAAAGGTGATAATTGCTGTTTTGATAAAAGAACTGAGAGATAAAGGACACCAGTTTTTCTTATGATAGCAACAAAATAGTTATCTGTTATCTGATAAATATCATAAGCAACCAAATCTAAGACTAAACAAATAACATTTTCATCATAAACTCTATACATTTTTAACTGTTTCTGCCGTTTACCCATTTTATTGAGATGGTAAAAGCCTCAAGTCTAAAATATTCTTGATTCTCTCACTGTCAATTAGTGACCTACTGAAGCAACAGTACATCAGATGCTTATGACCACAGAACAAAGCATTAAGAAGATGACCGATGGGCTAAAACAGCTGAGGAAGAAAAGAGTCCAAAAGAAGAAAATCAAAAGTATGACGGATGCCTGTTCCTCTGTTATCTTATCAGAATGTGTCGCAATCCAATCCAAAGTAATAGTCAATCTCATCAGATTAGTCAGTCAAAACGGATCTTATGTCTGTACTAAAGACACTGTTAAAAAAAGGCCAAAAACAAAAACATATCAGTGTCACACTGCATTAGAAACATAGTGATTTTACTGGAGTACTTCAAAGTAATTAACGCTCTAGATAATCTTTTCCTAAACTGGATTAGTCTTAATGTAGTAAAGTGTGCACTATGTCACTGTTTTATCTACGGAAATACTGATGAGTTTACGAGTTCAGTCCCCAGCGATGCCACAGCCATCCGTAACTGGGAGTCCAAGAGAGTGTAACTGGTCATGCGCTCTCTGTGGGTCGACTGTAGAGCTTGGATTAGTTTTCAGAACCTGACAGGGCCCGACTGCTCATCTTCTTCAAAATGTGTTTGGTTTGGGGCAGGCTCAAATTTTTGGGGGGGGGTTCTCACAGCCCACCTCCCACTTTCTTTCTGTTATTCCCAATTTTCTCCCCAATTTAGTTGTATCCAATTACACCCACTAGTTAGGACTCCCCCAATCACAAGATACCACCAGCGCTAGGAAGGTGAAAGCTAGCACTGGCTTCCTCCAAGACCTGTAAGGTGAGTCACTGCATCTTTTCAAACTGGCACTAACGCAATGTCATTGGACAGCAGCATGCGCTCGGAGGACAGCACCAAACACCAGTTCTGTTATGTCAGCTGACAGACGCCTGCGCTGGCTAGCATTGCGCTGGGTGATGGGAGGAGAAGGGGGGGCCATCCTACCCACCCAAAGAGAGGCCAGTTGTGCTCTCTTGGACTCCAGGCCACGAATGGCTGTAGCATCACCAGGGGTTGACCTCGAGATCTTGTGATAATAGGGCCAACGCTTAGACGGTTGGAGCCCCCACCTCCCACTTGCTGTGCTTCACCCTCCCAGCTTGGTAAAATCAGAGATTTCGGTGGGGGGGGGGTGGATAAGCAGCGACTAAATTTGGGAGAAAATTGGGAAAAAAATTCAGATGATGTTGTTTGGATTTTGGATCAGGTTGGACCCTGACAGGAAGTTCTCGGGCTGTATTCGGGTTCGGTCCTGATTAAAACTCTAGTTTATTTGCCCTCCTGCACTCTTCCATCACTCAACGTGATGCTAGCCATTACAGGCATCTGTTAGATGATGTAAGGGGGTGTTGAGCTGTCCACTGGCATTGCTTGACACCCTCCCAGTTTGGTAGCATCATGCGATGGGGGAGACTAACCCTAGCTAACAGGTGGGAATTTGGGGATGATATCAATGCCGATAAACATTTATGAAATGTAGAAACTGGGACTGAATCTATCCGGATCAGCATTACAGAAAAATCTATTTTTATAGGATTTTAACGCGTATCTTCTGGGATACAATAACTACATGATCAAATATCGCCTTGGAGAATCAGTCAAAACCGATGTTGATACTGATATGATCCCAAAATTACTGTATAAAATGACATCTCTAATATATTATGCCGATCTTTTGGGAAATCAGGCCCAGGAGCTGGCAAAAGTTCATCTCAACCCTAAAAAGAAAAGAGAAAGAAAGAGAAAGTGAAGAAGAAAGAAAAAAAAAGAGAGAGAGGGACAGAAGGGGGTAAAGCGAGGTATGGATTGAGAGGGCAGCGAGATAAGAGTCAGGATCAGCTTATTTATTCAGAATAAGCTTATTTATCCTGTGTTGTGGCCAGTAGTTCAAATGTGAAGAACAGAAACGGTTGGATGTGAGAGTAAGAACAGCGAGACCGTAAAAGAACAACACGCACACACACACTCTCGCCAAAATCAAAGGAGGCTGTAGGTGGGCCGGGGGGATCCAGAGACAGCCAATTACACACCTGCCTGCACCATAACAGCCCATCCATACAGCACTGCAAATGATCCACACTGGGGCCAATGAGGCTAAATGAATTGGAACAAAGCAGCGTGTGAGTGAGCGTGAGTGTGTAGTGGAGAGAGAGATGGAGGGAGAGATAGAAGGAGAGAGAGCACTTTGTGTTCTTTCAGCTGAATATTAGATTACTTTGTGTGACTAAGAACGAGCTGATAGCCATCAGTGAGAAAGAGCTTTTAAAGTGGTGGTGAGTTCCTCAGGTGGCACAACAAGCCTCTACCTGCACATCAAGAACAGAACAGACAAATTACTATTCTGTTCTGTTCTATTCAGATCTGTTCTATTCTGTTCTGTTCTATTCTGTTCTATTTCTATTCTATCATGCTGAATTTACTTGATTTAAATGTGTATATTATGTTTAACATAATTATGGCCAAACATGGGTAAACTAAGACCAAACTGTGTTAACATATTGTGATATATTTTATACATGTAGAAAAGTATAAAATATACAAATCTTTTCTATTCTATTCAAACCTGTTGTGTTTTATTCCATTCTACTGTATTTTTTTATGATACTGTGTTCTATTCTGTTCTCTTTTATTGTACTCTATTCTATGGTACTGCATTCTGTTCTAATACTCTATACTATTCTATTCTATTCTACTCTATTCTATTCTATGGTACACCCTTTTCTGTTCTACTCAATTCTATTCTACTCTATTATGTTCTATTCTTCTCCATTCTATGGTACTCTGTTCTATTCTTTGGAACTCTGTTCTATTCTATTCTATTCTGTGGCACTATGTTATATGCTATAGTACTCTGTTCTTTTCTATTCTGTTCTGTTCTATTCTATTATATTATATTCTACTCTGTTCTATTTTATTGTGTTTTATTCTATGTTTTGTTACTTTACATCCTGATTCAGTGGTTCTTAAAACTAGAATACCACTGACCTTCAAAAGGTAGAGTTTCTTCTGCTCCCCATAGACCTGGCGCAAAGGACTAGTCAACAAGTGGAACTGAGTGTGTCAGAGAACAGAAAACAATACAACAGACAGGGCACTGGTACCCAGAACCGAAATTGAGGGCTACTGTTCTATTCTACTCTGTTCTATTCTATTCTATTGTATTCTATTCTATTCTTTCAGGGTTTTAAATGATCTTAAAATACTGTTAAACATTATCTTCCATTATCTTAATCTGTAACGTATTGCATTGTACTATATTCTGTTTGCTCTACTCTATTGTAGTCCATGTTTCTCTGTTTTGTATTGTATTTCCATTATGCACTATTCTAATTCTACTCAATATAGCGAATGCAGGAATAATCACATGTAAGTGTTAATTTATTTGTTTTTTTTAATGGTCCTAATTAATGTTAGAGTATCTCCCAATGTGTTATATCTAGAATGTCTGAATAAAATTGAATGTATTGCATCTAAAGCGTGTACTTTGTAAATTAAATTAAACATCCAATTCATCTTAACTACTTTCTGTTCTATTGTACTGCAATCCTAGGAGCTGAATTAAGCAGTAAATGTAAAAAGTGCAATAAAAAAGTTACGATAAAACGAATTTACTCTGTAATGCCAGAAAGAACGGATTGGCACACAGAAACGAGTAAAACAGCACAACTACCATTAAGCAGCCATTTAACATTAGCCTTTGTTTGGTTATTTTCATGCACTCGCTCTGTTTTCATTACAGATCTGAAGCCCTTATACAATTACATAACCTTAATGTGAATCACACGTGGCAGATGCTCACAGACACAAACAGACACAACGCACACACAATCTGCCGCTTTGTTTAGATTGATATTACTGATGCGGAACGCTTGGTCAGGAGAAATGTAGCATGGAGCCTGACCACACACTTAATGACACAGCGCTGAGCCGTCTGAGGGGCTTCTTAGTGGATTTAGCCCATTTCATCCTGGTTAACCATACATGCCATCTGCTTTCACATGGATACAGCGTAGTGACAGCGCTCAGGCCCAGCCAAGCATTCATTAGTGCCACTGGGAGAATGTGTTTACTGTTAGAGGACACAGCGTCTTCAGGAATGATAAGTATCCGCACCAACATTGTTTGTTTATCCTTTGTGGACAGAGTGAACGGAGACAAGACGCACACAAACAGACTGACCCAGGCAGTTATGGCCATCGTGGGCCAGGCGGAAGCCGTCGTAGCACGTGCACCGGTAGTTCCCCGGGATGTTGATACACTCGTGGACGCATCCTCCATTATAATCAGTCGCACACTCATCAATATCTGCAGAGAGAGAGAGCAAGAGAGAGAGAAAGAGAGAGAGAGAGAGAGAGAGAGAGAGAGAGAGAGAGACAGAGAGAGAGAGAACAAATAGTGAATGAGTAAAACAACTTGATTAACTGACCGGATGAGAGCAGCTCTGTTTACTCATTTGTGTCCAAATGTAAATTGTCATATTTTTGTTAATAAGCAGTTGGTGCATCAGTTTTAGTCACTTGAGGTATGAAAGAACATTTCGCTCTCTTTTTCTGAAAAATGCTGGGAATGGAAACCTGCAGCCAGAAGTTAGCAGCAGGCCTGATCACCATTATTTGAGCTTATCTCAATAATTTGAACCAACTGCAATTATTTCCCGCCAAATATTTATGTTGCAGCAGAAAGAATGTGAGCTGGGCGCCTTTTTATCTGTTGGGATATAGCAGAAAACAACTGAAGTTTTACCTTCTGGCTTGGTGCTATAACACCTTTAGAGGGCAGCAATGAGCACTGTTTGTTTATTTGGGCTCAAGCTGTGTCTGTCATCAGTTAGAGCTAGCAAGATAGCTAATCTGCCATTTTAGCCACTTTAGGGTTGTACTTTAATAGATGCATCCAATTATCTAATTATTGAGTTAAGTTGTTAATCACAATTATTAATATGGCAATTTGTCATAAGCTAAAATTCTTTGATTCTTTGGCACCTAAAAATGAGATGAACCAACTTTAATTAAAGTACAGTACAGTAACATACAGTACCAATACAGCCACCATTTCATCTTCACTATTAGTTTAGTACCAGCAGAACAACTGTGTATTAAGTATTACTTTAGTACCAATGTTGCAAACCTTTAGTTCAAGCTTAGTGCTAGTTTAGCACCAGTATCACTGTGACTTAATAACAATTATTTTAGTTTCTGTACAGTATTAGTTTAGTACAACTATCACCATCACCTATTTGTTGAGTTCCAGTATCACCATAATTTAGTACCAACTTAGTACTAGTTTAGTATGACTATCACCACCACATAATAACTACTACTTTAAATCTAATATCACCACTATTTACTACCAGTTTAATATTACTTTAGTCTAAGTGATTAAGCTCCATTTAGTAACTATTTGGAACTCTTTTAGTATCTTTTTAGTTGCTCTTTTATTATCAACATTTCCACCACTCTGTAATAGCTCTGCAATATTACAGTATCACCAACATTTAGGAACAGTTTAGTACCAGTATCACCAACATTTAGGAACAGTTTAGTACCAGTATCACCAACATTTAGGAACAGTTTAGTACCAGTATCACCAACATTTAGGAACAGTTTAGTACCAGTATCACTAACATTTAGGAACAGTTTAGTACCAGTATCACCAACATTTAGGAACAGTTTAGTACAAATATCACTAACATTCAGGGACAGTTTAGTACCAGTATCGCTACCATTTAGGGACAATTAAATACCAAGATCACCAACATTTAGGAACAGTTTAGTACCAGTATCACCAACATTCAGGGACAGTTTAGCACCAGTATCACTACCATTTAGGAACAGTTTAGTACCTGTATCACCAACATTTAGGAACAGTTTAGTACCAGTACCATCAACATTCAGGGACAGTTTAGCACCAGTATCGCTAACATTTAGGAGCAGTTTAGCATCAGTATCACCAACATTTAGGAACAGTTTAATACCAGTGAACAAACAATGTTTGTGTATGGATAAACAAACAACAACAAACAAACTAGTTTGTTAGCTTTAGTTATGCTGGGTTAGCTTTAGCTCCTAAGTTTCTCTGATTTTGAAACTGGCAAGAGATGTCTGCCTTGTGACTGGTCAGGGGAATGTTTACAGAAGTGCTACTCAAGATTAAGACCACCCAGTTTACATCGAGAGGAGAGAAATATGGTGAAACATATCAGTCATTTATTGGTCATTGGAACATTATTTCAATGGTATTCTTAGTCCATGTTTACTGTTTGTCTTCAAGAACAACATTAATTTAATTAAAAAGAAAAAGATTTAGGTTATTTGGGTCTTTAATACCAGGATCGCCTTCATTAGTTACTGAACATCAGTTCCCAACTCAGTCCTACATCGAAGGAGGCTCGACCTCAGTCTGCTTGATAAGAAAAAACAAACAGCTGAAACAACACATCTGAGCGCTCTGTGTGAAGCGGGGGGGGGCAGGGGTGGACAGGGTCAGGAGATGCAGGCCATCCCCTCTCGTTTGCCGCCCAATTGGGCGCTAATTACCCAGAATCCCCTGCTGCTCTTTTGTGGTGCTCAGTGCTAAGAGTGGCAGCAGAGAGGCATCGCCAGACTCCGTCTGCAGCTCGAGGGGAAACTCCTGCGCTGGTTTGCTTCTTCTCTTTTTCTAATGAGCATGTTCCTGCAGTTCTTTAACCTTTAGCAAACGGAAACCCTAAATCCCGATTAAGAACACCGAAAAAAAAAAGTGGTTTCCGTGACATTTCTTACGCATACCCTACAACGAAATACAGACTTTCAGTGGAATTAGTGAAACAACTAATCGTTGAGGGGAATTAGCTCAGAATTGCAAATCCAGGAAAGCACCCTATAACCACACGGTCATTTCTGGGCAATTAGCATTGTTCGCTCAGAGAAAAGGCATTTTATTCCATTATTCTGGGACTGCAATTGCACCCTTAAATATATATCTATAACAATAACGTCTGCACCGTAACAACAGGTCAGAGCGGTTGAGTTCAACAGAGCAGAGACTTCCAGTCACCACTCTCTTCGCCCTCATTCATTACAATCATACTGTTTACGCATCATTACGCTCAGAACCAGACAGTCACAGCTGGTGAAAATCATATATTTTTTTTTTTGCATCCAAGAAAAACGGTAAACATGGAGCAATAGTAACCGAGGAACCATTTTGCGGTGAATGAGCAAACAGACTGCACTAGTCTGAACTCTCCTGCTGTGATGTCTTTAGCCTCAAGCAGAGATTATTCACCACCAGCCTCGTATTTGTCATCGATACTTTCTGATTTTGCGGCGTATTGTTAATAGAGTTCCACGCTGGCTCGTGGAGGATTAGGGCTCGATCCTCTGCTGTGTTCTCTTCCTTAGAGAGCTGAAATGGGACACGAGCACAAACGTATTCGGAAAGCCGTCCAAACAGCTCTGTTTCCCCACATTTAGCGTGTCTTTGCTTAAAGGGCTTTAGGGGCTGATCCCAGGTCAGCAAGACGCGAAATTCGACTACAGGACAAACACTCCTGAACTCACTCCCTCTTTAACGTTTCGTATCATGTTTTGGATCATTTGGAAAGCCTAAAAGCTCCACGAACGTCCCTTCCTCCTGTTTTTTAACAAACAGTGTCAGAAACCACACAAGCAAGAACATTTGATTTACTTAACAACTTGATTCAGGCATGCAGTTTGGACACTGCTAATTCACTGCTATAAGCCTCTTGTTAGCTACATTAGCCTCGTAGCTCCGGTGCAAAACTTCGGCCTTGGCTGAACGACTGCATTTGGGTTAAGGAGGAAATTGTGTAAATTTTTGCCAAACTATTCCTTTCAAAAACAAACAGGCTTTTACTCAACACTGAAGGCTTTTCTGCTTGGTTTATGCCCTCGTTTATAACCTTCATAATCCTGTGGCGGGCGGCCATAGGCAACAGAAGGCCAAGAAGCATGAGAAAGGAATGAGAGGAGGGTGAAAAGAGCTGAAGTCATGCAGTGACGAAGCACTTAGTGAACTTAGTGGGTTTCAGATTATGGCTGCACAATATTTCATTTGGTATCAAGACTGTGATGGTGGCCTTTGCATTACTGATATTTTAAATGGCTATAATATGCAAATATTATAACCAATCACAGATCTTTGTTAATTGTGCGCTTGCGTTCACATTCTGATCAATCTTACTTACTACGGGTATCTAGGGCTACAGAAAACGAATGAAGTTCGACGGTTCATGTGAATTACTCAGTCAGCAGTCATTCATTCGGCTTAAACGTGGTCTGAGCTGTAACAATAAAATGTCTGGCAATGTTCTGACAAACTGAGGCTCTATTCACCAACAGCTAACTGACCACCATGTGGCGCTATGTTTCAGCCTGCTCATAACTGTGGGCTACAGTAGGCCATAAGCAATAGCTAAAAAAAATATGTAGGTTAACATTACAGCTCTTCAAGCTGCAACATCATTTCACCAGTTTCACATTTTAACTTGATGAGCTGTGTGCTAACAGGTTTCCTGAATGCCTGGATGGCATATTTTTTTAAGTGAAACCTATGTTCACAAAATGAGCTGTATTTTAAGCTATTTCACCAGTTATATGTTATTAGCCAGCTAATGTAGGCTAGTTATAATTAGTTGTATTTTACGCTAATTAGCCAGTTGTATGTAGTATAGCTAGCTAATGTATGGAAAATGAGCTGTATTTTAAGCTATTTCACCAGTTGTACGTAGTATAGCTAGCTAATGTATGGAAAATGAGTAGTATTTTAAGCTATTTCACCAGTTGTACGTAGTATAGCTAGCTAATGTATGGAAAATGAGCTGTATTTTAAGCTATTTCACCAGTTGTATGTAGTATAGCCAGCTAATGTATGGAAAATGAGTAGCATTTTAAGCTATTTCACCAGTTGTACATAGTATAGCCAGCTAATGTGTGGAAAACGAGTAGTATTTTAAGCTATTTCACCAGTTGTACGTAGTATAGCTAGCTAATGTATGGAAAATGAGTAGTATTTTAAGCTATTTCACCAGTTGTACGTAGTATAGCTAGCTAATGTGTGGAAAATGAGCTGTATTTTAAGCTATTTCACCAGTTGTACGTAGTATAGCCAGCTAATGTATGGAAAATGAGTAGTATTTTAAGCTATTTCACCAGTTGTATGTAGTATAGCTAGCTAATGTGTGGAAAATGAGTAGTATTTTAAGCTATTTCACCAGTTGTACGTAGTATAGCTAGCTAATGTGTGGAAAATTAGCTGTATTTTAAGCTATTTCACCAGTTGTACGTAGTATAGCTAGCTAATGTATGGAAAATGAGCTGTATTTTAGGCTATTTCACCAGTTGTATGTAGTATAGCCAGCTAATGTATGGAAAATGAGCTGTATTTTAGGCTATTTCACCAGTTGTATATAGTATAGCTAGCTAATGTATGGAAAATGAGTAGTATTTTAAGCTATTCATTGGCATCCAGTGTTGTAGCAGTTAGCTAGAGTGTTAGGTCCTTAGCTCATCTGAAGAGGCAGCCTCCGTTACTCATCCAGCACGAATACCCACTGTGAACATGTTTATAGATTTTATCCGCCAAACATCTAAGACAAGTCTATGGCCCACAACATATGCTGGATTATGCTGCTCTAAACTGGTTTATGCTGGTGCAAGCTGGTTTAGTTGGTCACACAGCATGGTCATGCTAGTTGATCAGCAAGCCAGCATCCAAAACAAAACATATGCTGGTTTATGCTGCTGTAAACTGGCTTATGCTGGTCTGGAGCTGGTTTAGCTAGTCACTTAGCACAGTCATGCTAGTTGACCAGCATACCAGCATATGCTGGTGACCAGGCAAGCTGATCTATGCTAGTAAGTCCATGTTGTTTCTCTTTTTGCTGCTTTTCCTTTACTGTAGATATCAGGAATGTACATCCCTATTTTCACATTGAGTAAAATAGCATTTTCAAGATGAACGACAAACTAATAGCAGCACAAACACATAAAAGTACTTTTTCTTTTCTGGAGTAACTCATTCATTTAAATCCTCATGGACTGAATAATAGATTATGGAAATATTTGTTATTTGGAGCCCTATTTTAATTGAAAACATACAGTGAGACACACTGCAATCGCTGTGTAGCAATTTAAGTGCATTTTGGTATTTTGTCCACAGTTGTGCCGCCCAACTCCAGATTCAGGCAGACAAGTAAAGGCTGGAACAGCCCGGAACATCGGCGTCTGTCTGGCAGCGCTCGCAGACGCTCTCTTATGAATCTTAATTTCATTCACTAAACATGTGTAAGAAATTTCCTGCCCTATTACATGGTCAGTGGAGAGAACTAAACAACGTCTGCCCACATTTTTTTAACTGTTCACTTGATCCTGCGGCTCTGCTCCCTAAGGTCAATCAGAAAGTGCAGCCAAGGAGCCAGAGGAGCCAGTGCTTACTGCACACACGTATACACACACGTGTACGCAGACACACACCCACATGCACTTCATACGCAGGTGCACAGACATGCACTCATATGCAGTACGGTGCAGTCATTTAATTTCATTTCCAGTCAAAACAGCCATTAAGTACAAGGGATTCATTTTTCAGCGTCAGGAAAAAGTTAAAACATACTTAACAGAAAATTACAGAGAATATAATTTTTTTTCAGTACTTAATGTGTCCACTCAGCCTTTATTATGGCTTCCATTCTTTTTTTCTTAGGAGACTCACATCAGTTTTTCAAATAAATCTGCAGGGATGTTTTTCCACACCTCCAGGTCTTTTAATGTTTCGAACTCCAGTTTTGGAAGCTCCTGTTTTTTATCCATTAGTTTTCCTTTAAATTTCTTGCGTATGTTGATTGTATCATATTTCATCTCCTCAGAAAGCTCCTGAAAAACTCAATAAGTTGTTCTTAATAGCTGTTTAATAACTGGAAATAAAATAAAATAAAAATAAAAAATAACTATAACAGGATCCAAATGTTGTTTAGAGTCATTGTACAACTAAAGACTCTTTCAGTTTATAGTGCACACTATAAAATCTGATATCCAATAAAATCGGTTAACACTAAAGCCTTACACATTTTTTGGTATCAGCAAAAATGTAGCCACCATATGGTTTGAGAGGAAGATCCTCCTCCTTCCATTTTAAACTGTAAATGTCCATTTCCACCTTCCATTTCTATGATGAAGTTTTACACCCCACCACCACAGAGGACTGAGGAACCAAGAGGAAATGGTGTGGTGGTCCGGGCTGTAATGTTTGTTTATTTGAGCTTGAGCTGTTTCTGTTGTTAGTTGGGGGCTATGAAGTATCGACAGCTAGGAAGCAAGAAAGCTAATTTGTCCACTTTAGGCTTTATGCACAGGGGCCAGGTTTACTAAAGGACGTGCTAAAACAGTGTACTGACACTGTGTTTTTGTGTCATGAGGGTTTCCAATCTAGTGGCTAACCTACTAAGAATTTACATGCAAATGAATAAAGGTGCAACTCAGAATTAACATATGAGCAGCACAAAACTATCACTTGTTTGAGTCATATGCTTTTGTATGGAAGCCTGTTTCTGCCAGGTAGGAGAAAAAGGCTGCATTCCAAACTGCAAACTACAGCACTAAGTAGTACATAAAAAATGGTGCACCACCATTAGAAGTGCATTCATTAGTGTAGTAGGCAATGTATAGAAGTGTGGGGTTTGGGATGCAGCAAAAACCTTTTTTATCCTCTATTTCTGGTTCAAACCGTAACTCATTAGCTTGAAATAATGAGTTATGTTCTTGAGATTTCTTGAGATTCACTCAGAGAATAAGAAAAATAAGATATGATTTTGACAAAAGAAACAAAAAATGAGGGAATAAATAATTATTTCTATAATTTTCTATTTGGTAGCTAAAATAATTATCAATGTCATCACTGTCATCATGGTAACAGTCTTATGCAAAGGTTTGGACACCCCTGGTCAAATGACATACTTTTTATTGATGTGTAAATAAGTTAATGCATCCTCTACAGAGAGCACGCTTCTGTGTATTTTAATATACAATTACTGTTTATTTAGCAATTTAATATATTGAAACAAAATATACTCAGTGCAAAAGACATGGCACATTTTAAATTTGTCATACTCAGCAAATAAACAGAAACTGTGTGCTACAATGAGCAGAAAATGAGAAATTTAAGTGTAGAGGAGGTATTAACTTATTTTCAGATAGAAAATCAATAAAACATGTAATTTCGATTAGATTAAGTGACTCTTATTAGTCACAAAGTGGGGAAATTTCACCTCCACATTTAACCCATCCATGCAGTGAAACACCACATACACACTAGTGAATGCACACACACTAGGGGGCAGTGAGCACACTTGCCCGGAGTGGTGGGCAGCCCTATCCACAGGGGAGCAGTTGGGGGTTAGGTGCCTTGCTCAAGGGCACTTCAGTCACGTACTGCTGGCTCAGGTGATCGAACCGGCGACCTTCTGGTCAGAGGGCTGGTTCCCTAACCTCCAGCCCATGACTGCCCTTAATGGGTTAAATGATGGGTGGCATACAACTGTAAGCATGATGACATTGACGACATTGATAATCGCACTCGTACCTTCACAGTGTTTTCCGTCTCCTTTATAACCGGACTTGCAGATGCATTTGTAGGATTTGAGTGTGTTCTGGCAGATCGCATCAATGCTGCAGTTGTCTGTGGTCTCCACACACTCGTCCACATCTGGAGAGAGAGAGGGAGAGAAAGAGCAAACACAGGGCATGAAGTTAGAGGACTCTGGGTTGTTTTCCATGTCTTTGGTGAACTGACAAAAGCAGTAGTGTTTTAAAAGAACAATTAGACACAGTGGGACAACAACAAGAACATTCTGTCACGGCGAGCGAGAAAAGCCAGCTTTGTGATGACGTGCCGCCACGACCACATGCATGCACTTCATCAGAAAGCAAGAACTGAGGCTCAAGTGAGGCAATCAAATGCAAATGCCAAGAAAACAGCACATTGAAAGCACAGTATATCATAAAAACAGTGACGTCAGAAACAACACTGAGGAAACACAAAGGACTCTTCACTGGAGCTTCCATTATTGTGAATGCAAGTCAAGAAAGGCCTCGAACATCTAGGACAGGAGTGGCTTATCTTATCCGCAAAGGGCCGGCGTGGCTGCAGAATTAGTCGTATCTGAATCTACCCACTAAACTGGTCTCCCTCCATCACACGATGCCGCCAAGGTGGGATGATGAAGGCTAGCATGGGCTTCCTCCAAGAAACATGAAATACCAGCACATCTTTTTAAACTGCCACTAATGCAACACTGGACAGCTCAACATACTTGGAGAAGAACACTAACTGCTAATCAAGTGATGGGGAGCTGGAGGACTATCCTGAGAGAATTACTCAATTACTTACTTATTATTGCCCAGAGAGAATTATGCTCTCTTAGACTCCCAGCAAAGGAGAGCAGAGGCATCCTGACGATAGAGCTAGTGGTTGTGCTACTCAGGAGCGATCGATTGTTGGAATACTGAGACTAAAAGACAAGAGGAATCACGGGCCACATTCACAAAAGCTTTCCTAAGAAAATATATGTGGATGATTTTAAGCAAAGCACTAAAAAGTTAATAAAAATGTTCTTAAATGCAATTCAGGAAAAAAGCTTAAGATGTAAACTTCAAATATTCTGTTAAGACAGAGAAATTCTTCATTATTTTCTCAAGATCTTCTTAAGAAAGGCATACATATATATATATATATATATGTGTGTGTGTGTGTGTGTGTGTGTGTGTGTGGGCGTGTGTGTGTGTGTGTGTTATTAATTATGTAGACTATCAATATCATGTTATATGTTTATTTCCTTTAACCATTTATTTTCATTCTGATTTAACAGCCCAAAAAGGGTTTTTTACTGTTGGCTGGTTCCTTCACCATCACTTCTAGTTCCACCAGCAACCCAGATAGCAGGCATATATCAGTCTCAGTGGGCCACTATCCTCTCCCTATCTGAGAAAATGGAGGAAAAACAAATTTTAATTTGTGAAGGAAAGAGCCAGCAGGAAAATTCCTCCTCAGTCTTGGTCTAGAAGTCAACCATCAACCGTTACAGCTAAGGTAAGACTGTCATGAGGTCAAGAAAATATAGTAGAATATATCTTTTTTTCAAGAACACCACATGCTCTTATGAGAAGTGATGAAATGTCACAAACTTAAGAAAAAAAGCACATTTACAAAGATTTTCTGGTAACACTTTCTATGAATGTCACCTTTGTAAGCATCTATAAACGCATTCATAACATGTTATAATGCATTCATAAGACATTATAAAAATAGCTATAAATATTTATAAAAATGCATTATACATTATAGCCATGTTTATTATGCATAATGAGTTGTTGACATAATACATTATAAGTACTGATCATAACAAATTATAAGAGCTCATAAGTTGTATTTGTCCACTCTAAGTAAAGTGAAGCGTACTGTACTAAAGCCTCCTCCAGTGTTAAGAGTGAGGCTTCAAGTTGAAGTATTTACTGGAGGATTTACTGAAACACTAAAACATACACAATAAAGCACATTACAGGCTTCAAATGTCAGAGTTTAAACTAGTGCTGCCATCAGTGTTTTACCCAATGTGGGAAAGTCAATGTTCACCACCGTTAGCTTGGTCTTTGTGGACTGACTTCTTTGGCACTGACATTATAACATGTTATTAACACTATTTATAATGCATTATATTAACAATTCATAATGTATAATAAACATGGCTATAAAGTGTAATTCAGGTAATTCTTTTTTATTAATAACCATGTTTATAATGCCTCATGAGTACATTATAACATGTTATAAATGTGTTTATAGATGCTTACAAAGGTGACATTCATAGCACAAGTGTTACCCAGTATGCTTCACTTTACTTAGAGTGGACAAATACAACTTATGAGCTCTTATAATTTGTTATGAACAGTACTTATAATGCATTATGTTCACAATTCATAATGCATAATAAGCACGGCTCTGACATGTAATGCATTTTTATAAATATTTATAGCCATGTTTATGATGCCTTATGAATGCATTATAACATGTTATGAATGTGTTTATAGATGCTTACAAATGGGACATTCATAGAAAGTGTTACCCAAACTGTGCAGCCAAAAGTTATTTTTACTATTCATAACATAAAATCATTAACGACACACAGATGAGTCTAACGCCTTATATAACTCGCTCTGTACCGTCTCCTCAACTGTGTCTGGCGTAGAAAAAGAGCTTTAACGTTTAACATGCTTCAACTTCAAAGAGCTCCACTAGAGCTATTTTCTCCCTGAGTTCTTCACCACTGAAGTGTCCTCTGTTTCTCCGTTTGAATTGCCCTCCTCTCGCTTTCCCTCGCATCATTTCCTGTCGAAGCGCTCGCTCTCTCTCATCTCCGCATCTTCCCGTAAAGGTCCGGTCCCGTCACGGCACAATGACCCCCTAATCTCAACAGTTTCTGCGTCTTCTCACTGCCTACAGCTGCGCCGTTTAAAAGCAGCACATCAGGCGCGGACAGAAATCCAGCAAGTCCGAGCCAATATCTGCTTAAGATCTCCTCAGGCCTGGATACACCCAACTAGTTCTGCCCTGATGTGATGATTTGGCATTGTTTTGATTTTTTGATTGTTTTGATGAAAACACGCGTAAATACACAGTTGCATGCTAAACAAGACCAAGAGATATTCACATATCTGTATTTCCTTAAAGAGAACAACAATCAAACCTTCTGTTACCTCTAGCAGAAGCATGCATGGCTCTAATCTGGCAGTAAACAAGCTAATCAGAATGGAATTTGGATTGTAACAATGCTCGACTGCTCTTTGTCTCTGTATTTGGGCTGTAGGTTACTGGGGAAAAGGCACACTGCAATATTTTACATAATATTATAGGTTTTTTTTCTCTAAAAGTGTTATTAACATCACATAAACAAACATTACTCACTGACGCCCTCTAAAAGTGTTATTAACATCACATAAACAAACATTACTCACTGACGCCCTCTAAAAGTGTTATTAACATCACATAAACAAACATTACTCACTGACGCTCTCTAAAAGTGTTATTAACATCAAATAAACAAACATTACTCACTGACGCTCTCTAAAGGTGTTATTAACATCACATAAACAAATATTACTCACTGACGCCCTCCAAAGGTGTTATTAACATCACATAAACAAATATTACTCACTGACGCCCTCCATAGGTGTTATTAACATCACACAGACAAATGTTACTCACTGACGCCCTCCATAGGTGTTATTAACATCAAATAAACAAACATTACTCACTGACGCTCTCTAAAGGTGTTATTAACATCACATAAACAAACATTACTCACTGACACACTCTAAAGGTGTTATTAACATCAAATAAATAAACATTACTCACCGCTGTCCTCTAAAGGTGTTATTAACAAACATTACATAAACCAACATTACTCACCGCCACCCTCTAAAGGTGTTATTAACATCAAATAAACAAACATTACTCATCGCCGCCCTCTAAAGGTGTTATTAACAGATTTCACCCACCCTTGGGTCAGAATTTGCATTTGCATTCTGCAGCCTTTTGCGATATTAATATTGCAGAGAATGAGAATGATTAACAAGCAATATATTAAGCAATTGCTGCTCAGTTAAATCTCTGTCATTTCCTTCGAAAAACTATCTGAGCTGGCTCCCGAATCTCCACCCATGTCCCACTCTTCACACGAACATGCAAGGAATTTCAGACAACGATGAGAATCTCAGCAAAAATCATGCAGCCTGAAAGCGGCAGCTGCTCCGTGCACAGACCCTCTGAAGCCGGGAGCTGCTCCTATATTCCTCTTCCAGAGTGCGTCAGATGAAAAACTGTTTACATTAGAGGGCTTTTAAGGCTGCTGAACTGGATCTGCCGAGCGCTTAGAGCCTGCAGATGTGTCTGAAGAGACTTCAAATGAAGAATAATGGACACCTTTTTGTGCGACAGAATGCATTACCTCCTCATTCAGACGGCGCATAATGAATAAGATGAATAAGGCCAAAGCTGCAAAGGCTGGTACAGACTTCTCTCTGCTGTGTGTGCAGGTGCAAACATGACCAAAGAAATCAGTACACATTTAACCATTAGCTGTCTAAAGCAGGGGTGCCCAAAGTGCAGTGCACAAATAAAGAAGGCAAGAAAATTTCAAGATGTATTTCATAACATTACACTTTTTTAAGCAAGAAAACTATTTCAGAAATATGAATTTAAAGAGTCAACTTCATGGAAAACCAAATTTTCCTCACCATTTCGATAATAATGTTCAAACTAACTGCCAAATTTTCAAAGCATAGCATTCACTACCCAGTCCATACACATCCATATACAGTCCGTATATTTAAACCATGCTGCAACAACATCCTGTTTTAACTCATTGTTTCTGTGATGTCACAAAAACCAACTGATTTACATATATGCTCCTATTCAGGAGGACATATGTAAATCCGCCTAGAGCAGTTTAGCTCCGCCCATTCACACTGATGTTATGAGGTGTTTCATAATGTGTTTCATTATCAGTGTTTCAGTGTGCTTTTTGAATGAGAACACAATCAAAACAGAGCTCATTTACATATATCAGTCTTAAAGGCACAGTAACAAAAAACAGCTTGTTTAACTGTTATAAAGAGAGTTTGGAAAAATGGTCATGTAAAAATCAATTATAA